ATTCTCCTGCCTCAGCCTCCCATGTGGCTGGGATTACAGGCATGCACCACCACACCCGGCTAATTTTTTGTATTTAGTAGAGACAGGGTTTCACCATGTTGATCAGGCTGTTCTCAAACTCCTGACCTCAGGTGATCTACACACCTGGGCCTCCCAAAGTGCTGGAATTACAGGCGTGAACCATTGCACCTGGCCCCCACACACTATTTTTAACTAGGAGTGATCTACTAGCACCTTTCTTCTTCAGGCCCCAGTCTCCTTCCAAGTTCCTTGACTCTCCTTTCTCTCCCTCACAATTTTTCTGCTCCTCTATTTCCCAAGATTCACCACACTTTGGGCTGCTCCTTTTGCACAAAAATACTCAAATCTCTCTTTTGATTAGACAAAGCATTTGACTTTCCTACACTCTCCTTAGGAATGGTATGCCTTGGAGAACATCAGAGCTCAGTGCTTAGCTAAAGAAAGGCTCACCTGATCTCGTTCTTACCCTTTGATCTCAGAACTTGGGAGATTGGCTTTGTTTGTCCCAGCACAAAGTTTGTGTGTGTGTGTGTGTTTCTCCTTCCTTCCTTCCTTCCTTCCTCCCTCCCTCCCTTCCTTCCTTTTTTTGATGGAGTCTTGCTCTGTCGCCCAGGCTGGAGTACATTGGCAAGACTTCTGCTCACTGCAACCTCCACCTCCCTGGTTCAAGCAATTATCCTGCGTCAGCCTCCCACATAGCTGGGACTACAGGCATGCTCCACCATGCCTGGCTAATTTTATTTTTGTATTTTCAGTAGAAACAGGGTTTCACTATGTTTGTCAGGCTGGAATTCTCAGGTGATCCGCCTGCCGCAGTGTCCCAAAGTGCTGGGATTATAGGCATGAGCCACCACACCTGGCCTCTCTTCTCTTTTCTCTTTCCCTTCACTTCCCTTCCCTTCCTTTCCCTTCCCTTCCCTTCCCTTCCTTCCCTCCCTCCCTCCCTCTCTCTCTCTTCTTTCTCTCTCTCTTCTTTCTTTCTCTCTCTTTCCTTCTTTCTGTTTCTTTCTTTCTTTCTTTCTCCCTTTCTCTCTCCTTCCTTCCTTCCTTCCTTCGTCCCTCCGTCCCTCCCTTCTTTCTCTTTTTTATTGAGACCGAGTCTCACTCTGTCACCCAGGCTGGAGTGCAATGGCACAATCTCGGCTCACTGAAACCTCCACCTCCCAGGTTCAAGCAATCCTCCTGCCTCAGCCTCCTGAGTAGCTGGGATTACAGACACCTGCCATCGCACCTGGCTAATTTTTATATTTGTAGCAGAGATGGGGTTTCACCAAGTTTACCAGGCTTGTCTTGAACTCCTGACCTCAGGTGATCCACCCGCCTCAGCCTCTCAAAGTGCTGGGATTACAGGCGTCAGCCACCACGCCCGGCCTTCTTTTTTTTCTGGAAAGATGGGAGTCTCCCTATATTGCTGGTTGTCTTGAACGCCTGGGCTCAAGCAATCCACCCACCCATTTTGGCCTCCCAAAGTGCTTGGATTATAGACATGAGCCACTGTGCTCAGCCTGATTTTCTTTTTGACATTTAAAAACAAAACAAAACAAAACAAAAAGGATACATTTCACATATAACCCTGGTTCCATGCTTCTCTCAAAAAATGGGAAGAGTCAACAACTCAGTGTGTTCAATCAAACATGGCGGCAACAAGTTAAAGTTGAGTAACTGAGTAATGGCTGCCCCCTTTGGCCAGGCAAGATAGCTTGGCCCTCTTCTTCCCCAGAATCCACCAGCCTCTCTTGTTTGTGTGACCACTCTAGCTGCTGGAAGCTTTTGAGTTTGTAATCCCTTGTTTGGCAATGAAACCCCAAAATCAGAGGTTTTACAATGTCAGTCTTCTTTCTTCCCTTTCATAAGTGGAAAGACCCAGTATAGAGATTCATTTTTCCACTGACGTAAATTATACTACCACCCCAATTTAGATTGCAGATGCAGTTACAAAGAGTTTGGTTTTAAATATATTTTCCACCTCACTGCAAAAATGTTATATGGCATATTTAGAAATCCTGCCCCCACCCCCAGTAAAGGTTTTTTTATGACAACTGAAATTCCCACCATTCAACTATTTACCGTGCTTTGAGATTTGGGGATGATTCTAGCTGATTCCAGAATTATAGGTGAATAAGCATAACACCTGTCTTCTGAGTAACTTTCAGCAATGCAGCCCCTAGCATATCTAATTTAATGCTTATTAAAGGAATTGCTTTTTTGTTTGCTGTTTGAAACTCAATGCATATTTGCAAAGCCAGCTCCAATTTCTCTTAAGGCCTGATACCATTTTTTTCTACCTCTCCCACTTTGCAAATTAACTGACCCTCAATTTCCTTCAGTGGTCCTTAGTCCCAGCAGAGAGGAACTGGTCCTAATTGCATAAATTCTCTCCCTCATTGCTGAAATTGAAGAGCCATCTGATTTGTTTTCACCTGAGAGGTCTCAGGCAAGCACCATCTCCAAGGACAGGGGAAAGTCTAGAGCAGGGGTTCTCCAGGTGTGGTTTCCAGACCAGCAGCATCAGCATCATTTGAGAATTTGTTAGAAATACAGCCTCAGCCCTGCCTCAGACCTATGGAATACGAATCTGCACTTTAAAAGGATCCCCAGTTGATTCATAAGCTCATTCAAAGTAAAACAAGGTCAACCAGGTATGGTGGCTCACGCCTGTAATGCCAGCACTTTGGGGAGCCTGAGGCAGGAGGAATGCTTGAGCCCAGGAGCTCAAGACCTACCTGGGCAACACAGCAAAACCTGGTCTCAAGAAAAAGAGAAAAAAAAAAGGAAGGAAGGAAGGAAGGAAGGAGGGAGGAAGGAAGACAAAGTAATGTCTTTAGTAAAAAGAACTGTGAAGTAAATAAAAAGAGTAGTCTAGGACTCCGAAAAACAGGCCCACCCCATCGCTGCAATTTTTTTTTCTCTGTTTTTT